TGCACTCCAGAGCTGATCCTGTTCTGCTGTCTTGGATCCTCCCTGCTAGGATTATTAATTCTTAAAATTGTTTGCCTCTGAGTATTTATTTTTCTTTTTAATGCTTGAAAATTAAAATAACCATTTTATTTTTATTAAAAATATTTGGTGTTTTGATACCAACATGGTTGCTTTTAGATATATGTTGTATCCATCCATTCTGTGTTGCTACAAATAAATACCTGACACCAGGTAATTTATAAATGAAAGAGGTTTATCTGGGCTCATGATTCTACATGGCATCAGTATCTGCTTTGCTTCTGGTGAGACCTCAGGAAGCTTTGACTCATGGCAGAACGTGAAGGGAAAGCAGGCATATCAAATGGCAAGAGAGGAAACAAGGGGTGGAGGTTACCACACTTGTTTTTTTGTTTGTTTGTTTTGTTTTTACCATCAGATCTCATAGTAACTAAGAGAGAATTCACTAATTACTATGGACAAGTCACCTGGCCGCTCACGAGGAACTGATCTTCATGACCCAAACACCTTCCTTTCGGCGCCCCTTTCAACATTAGGAAATCACATTTTGTCATGAGATTTGAAGGAGACAAATATTCAAACTATATCATCTATTTGATTGTATTCCCAGAAATGTGGCTCTGCAATATCACTTAATAGCTTTGAATTTATTTTTATTTAAGTATTGTAACTGTTTACCTTGTTTTCATTATTTGCATCCAATATTTTATTATTATTCTCAATAGTCATAAAACAAATTAACCATCAGAGCTTGCATTTCCACTCCTAATCATAAATTAAAATTCAATTGCCACTGTAATAGTATTAAGAGGTGGGACCTTTAAGAGAAGATTAGGTTATAATTACACCGCTCATAGATGAATTAATGGTGTTATCATGGGAGTGGATTAGAGCAGGAGTAGGTTCCTGGTAAGGAGCATTAGATTGCCTCAATTTGCCATCTCTGTCATGTGTGCTCACTTTTTCTTCCACTTTCCACCCATCAGAACAGAGTAGACGATGCAGTGTGAAAGCCCTTGCCAGGTGGTAGCACCATGCTCTTGGACTTCCAGCTTCCAGGACCATGAGCCAAATAAACTGTTATTGTTTGAAAACTATCCAGTCTTTGGTGTTCTGCTATAGCAGGAAACTATATAAGACAGAAATTGAGTCATGAACAGCTTTAACTCATAGCTGATGTCGCCTTCACATTCTCTGAAGCTGAAGAGACCGGGAGATTCAGATGCCAAAGTAATAAAAATATTAATAAACATAATAATAACAAGGTAATAATAACAATAATAATACTAAATATAATAATAGCAATCCAAAAAACTATGAAAAGCCAAACTAAATTTTGTACAGTTTTAAGTTGCTAAGGGCTCCAAAATCTATTAAACAGAGGAAGCCTCATAAACACATAACGTTCTGAGTCTACAACAAAAGAGTATACTTTTATGAAACAGGGTCAAGCAGGAGTAGACTAAGCCTGTCAAAATGGCAAACCTGGTGGGTTAAGTTTATTCTCAGAGAAGTTTCATAATCAAGAAACCAAATCTGTTAAGACAAATTCTCCATAGAAAGATTATTGCATACGGAGCCTCTTTTCACTTTGGACATATTTTTCTGCCTTTTGGAATGCCGTAAATCTACTGGTATGATAGAGAACAAGATAATGTCTTCCAAATGAAGTGAAAAAAATCATAGAGACCACAGGTATCACAATGTTAGCATAAGCATGCAAAGTTTTTAAAATAACCATGTTTGATATATTCAAAACTTAGAGAAAAGAGAAGAAAAAAGATTAAAGGATGGAGTATTTTCTCAAATAATTGTAATTTATAAAAAAGAATCAAATAGAAATGAAAACATTTAACTTTACCATCAACGTAATTAAGAAATTATTGGTTGTTTAGCCAATTACAGGGATCACAATGCAAACTTAAAAGTTAGAAGAAACATAAAAATTATCTTTCAAAACAAAAAGTCAAAGGAAAAGAAGAATGGAGAATTCAGGAAAGACCATAAGACATACATTGCCTGGAGTAGAACATTCTAATTGGGTAATGAGTGCCCTAAAAGGTAAGAGGAAAAGCATAGCTGAGAGGTTTTTAAGGCTGAGAGAAGACATCAGCCTATCAGAAGGGACCAAAGAAAAATAAACAAACTGAAAATCATATCTAAGCAAATCACAGTTGAAATGCTGGAAAACTAAAGACCAAGAGAAAAGAATAAAAGCAGCTAGAAAATAAGAAACATTCGTAACAGAAGTAATGGAATTTAGGGAAAAAAAAGCAAAAAACAATAATCGCCAACTCTAAAATGCAGAAATTAATTTACTTCTTTTATAGTTAATGAACTTATCCACCAAAAAAGGAAACAAAGGTGGTTTTAGAATATAAAATAACAAGTCTCTATCATCAACAGTCATGCACTAAATAAATACACAAAGGTCTTTAAGGGGAAAAGAAAAAGGTAATTTCAAATGAAAAAAAATAGAAGTACAGAATGAATGGGGGTAGTATGGAAAGTAAATTGTGAGAAAATATACATATCCTTTTTTCTACCAAGATATAATAGTGATGGCTTATTTTGGTGGTTTAAATGTGTGAATAATTAAACTGAAGATATCAATGAAACAAAAGGTGATGGGATATTAAGGGAGATAAGCTGTTCTGAAATTCTAGGTTTTATCATTTAGGAATTCTAAAAACATTGAGTTTCATTAATCAAGAATGAATGCTGCCGGGTGCAGTGGCTCACGCCTGTAATCCCAGCACTTTGGGAGGCTGAAGTGGTTGGATCACTAGGTCAGGGGTTTGAGACCAGCCTGATCAACATGGTGAAACCCAGTCTCTACTTAAAAATACAAAAATTAGCCAGGCGTGGTGGTACACCCAGCTAGTTGGGAGGCTGAGGCAGGAGATTTGTCTGAATCTGGGAAGTGGAGGTTGCGTGAGCCAAGAGTGTGCCATTGTACTCCAGCCTGGGCGACAGAGTGAGACTCCATCTGAAAAAAAAAAAAAAAAAAAAGAATGCTGTATTTTCCAATGTAACCACTAAATTAAATTTGTAAAATTTTAAAAAGCAACTTTAAAAGGGATTCCTGATATATTTTCATAGTTTGGATACACAAAAAAATTGGATGTAGAGGATCAGAGAAAGCAAGAAGTCAGCGATAGTTTCCAATTTGCTGGCCCGAGCAACTGGAAAGATGGAATTTCTATTAATTGAAGAAAACCGTGAGTGTAGCAGGCTTGATGGTGTGGAGAGATGGAACGTTTGGTTGGAAAATGTCTACACACACAAGAAAAATATAGTATTTTTTTTTTTTAACTGCAAATTCAGTTTGTCTGGAATCACCCGTTGTCTCTCCTTTTACTTATATTTTATATGACTGACACATCATTTCCCGATATAGCTGACTTGGATTTTTTTTTTGACCATTTTAATCCAATTTTGAGCATTTTTGACTGTGTCCTCAGTTTGCTCACATCACACTTTAACTTTCAGAGACAAGTTCGATTTTCCACACTCACGGGCAGGCTCATAAATGCCCCTCCATGCCATGCTTACCATTTTGGTTAAAATTATGTAAAAGTATAGCATATAACTTCATATCCAATTGGTTTTATTAATTTAGGCTGGACTTAAATTACAAGCTCTTTCCCCAGATTTCACGAGTTAAGAATTTAATATTCTCAGGAAGAAATAACTTGTCCTTTACTTTTGATAATTTAAAAACTGGTATGACTTTAATGCTGGTTGTTGTACTATGTGCCAAATGATGATACAAATTCTTGTTAACTCTAAAAAGTTGAGATAAATTATCAATGGAATAATTTTGAAAAAAATTTGCTATGACAAAAATAAGCTAACTTTTTTTTTTTTTTTTTTTTGAGACAGGATCTCTCTCTATCACCCAAGCTGGGGTGCAATGATGTGACCCCTGCTCACCACAGCCTCAACCTCCCAGACACAAGCGATCCTCCCATCCTTCCGACAGGGTGTCCCGAGTAGCTTGGATTGACTGCAATGCAATGCACCAGCACATCCGGCTGATTTTGTTTATTTTTTATTTTGTAAAGAGAGAGTCTCCCTATGTTGCCCAGGCTGGTCTCAAACTGCTGGCTTTAGGCACTTCTCCCACCTCAGCCTCCTGAAGGGCTGATTATAAGGCATGAGCCACAACGGCTAGCCAAAACTTTTAAATTTGTGTTTCAATCATATGACATGAGGCAAAATAAGAAAATGTATTATCAATATAAATTCTTGCATGCTATGTTTACATAGCCAAATTATATTTAAAACGACATATTTCAGTAACGTTTATCTAAAATTGATTTCACATTCTACACCTGTCAATTAATTCCAGTAAATAGGCAATCAGGGGCTGAAAACAATTTCATCAAATCAACTAGTTTGCGTTAATGTGTACTTAAAAATTATGTGTTTACTCAAAGCTGAAAATAAATAGTTTAAATATCATATGAATCAAATAAACATTTCTTTTACCTTTTCTTTCCCCAGATATGTTGATGCCTAAGTATAAGCACAGTTTATTTAAAAGCACAAAAAAACCTTGAATACTTTGTTTCATATTCATTAACATAAATCAAGGAATTAAAGAAAAATGTTTCTGATTAGTGGCTAATGTTGGATTTTTATCGCGCTATTTTGAAATTCAATGACCAAATGAGTTTTGTTTTTTGCATACTCTGAAAATCATTTTAAAACACTTACACTAATGTGTTTTTTTCAAGATTTGAGGAATAGTTAGACATTTTCCAAAAGCTGGATACTTAGAACACTGGAGCAGTTGCTGAAATGTGTATACATTGACTGGAAAATTTATCTTTAGAGGATCATTTTGAATGACAATTTTAACGTCGGAAAAACCCATCAATTAAATATCAAACAGAGGGAGTTATAGCTTGTGGCAAGCATAGCCTGGGCGTGATTTTTCTTTTTTTTATTTTTTTCTCGATTTCTCTGCTTTTCAGAAAAAGAGCCTGAAGAAAGACTGGTCATCCTTGCAGATATCAAGCCAGGCCTTAAGGGTGTTTGTGAAGTTCTCCAAGGTACTGTGGTAGCAGCTAGGGCTGGCTCAGAAACTCTATTCAGATATGTGATGTTGGAAGACGATGGCAACTAGAACTCTGCGGTGGCACATAATCAAGCCCGATGAGATTCTCCAGTTGGAATTTAGAGAAGAGCCCTGGAGAAAAGGTTCTTTTTCTAGTCAGAGCTACCTAGAATATTAGAGACATAAAGAGCATTTAGAAAAGTTCAAATTATACCTGAGTAACATTTCTAAATCAGTTGCATTCATCATCCATAAAAATAGTGGTCAAGAAGAGGAATACTGTATTTGGGAACAAATTGCTCTAGTGACTTTAGTCATAAAAAATCTATATGATAAGACACTGCAATGTTTTGCTTTTATGGGTCTACTGCATTGAGCCATGGGGTGCCCAGATATTGGTTAACCATCATTTTGGGGTGTGCCTGTGATAGTGTTTCTGGGAGAGATTAGCACTTGAATAGGTACACTCAGTCAAGCAGATTACCCTCCTCAGTGTATTCAGAACTCGTTCAAGCTGTTAAAGGTCTAAATAAAATAAGTCTGAGTAAGAAAGAATTTTTCTGTCTGCCTTTCTATCTTCAGTCTGGTACATGAGTCTTCTTTTGCTTTCAGACTTGAATTCAGGCTCACATTTAGTTCTCCTGGTCCTCAGACTTTTGGGTTTGGACTAGAGCTGTGTTATCAGCTGTCCTGGGTTTCTGGCTTTCCCACTGCAAATCGTGTACTTCTTGGCCTTCAAAATCACATAATTGAGAGAGGGAGAGAGATTTGTTTTGTTTTCATTTTCTTTTTATTTTTTAATTTTTTTTATTTTTTTCCTAGTGTGATCCTAAGATCTCTTTCAAGACAGTTGCTGTAAACGCTATCCCTGACAGGGCCCGGGGCATTGCTTATGGGTGTTTAGAATGTGTCTTACATGGGATCTTTTTCATCCTGGCAGACAGCCAAATGCCTAAGTGTCTGACACGTGACCATGTGGTTCTCCTTCAAAAAACCTGTTTCTAGTGTCAGAAGCCCTGGGGTCTCTTACCTGACCTGTGCGGGTTTTTTCCTGCCACTCCATGGAAGAACGCTGACAAGGAAAGGAGTTAGCTTGTCTGCATCAGTCATACGAGACACAGGGAGCAACTTAACAAAATAGATTAAATAATAGAAGCAGAATTATTGACAAGCCCTCAAGAAAAGAGGGGCGCCTCCGAAGGCTGATAGAAAGTGGGAACCATCTAGGATATGCATGCTTAACCAGCGGGTGGAGAGCAAGAGGGAGGGATGGACCCTCAAAAGGGCTGAAGCTTTTTTACGGGTGCAGGGTGCTATCACACCTGATTTTTCATGGGAAGTTCTAACTGGTAGTTTAGAGACCACAGACATGAGTTCCATGGAATTACCCTGTGACTGAGAGGTGGTCACAGTGGCATTCTCCGGCAGCCCGCACAAGGCCTGAGGGTCACTGCTGAGTCAAGTTAGGCTGTATCCAGCTGTCCCATAGGGAGGTGGTGACCAGGAGGTGGTTGTATAAGGCGGATATCTGGATAGACCACATTGAGGAACTGGGAGGAGCAGAGAACTGGAAACTGTCAAGGATGCCTGAGCCTTGTTTCCATAGGTAAAAGTCAAATTTACATTCACAATAGAGATAATGAAAAATATTTTGAACCAGGGTGTGGTGGCTCACAAGTGTAATCCCAACACATTGGGAGGCTGAGGCGGGCGGATCACCTGAGGTCAGGAGTTTGAGACTTGCCTGGACAATGCGGTGAAACCGTGTCTCAAATAAAAATACAAAAATTAGCCAAGCATGGTGGCATGCACCTGTAATCCCAGCTACTAGGGAGGCTGAGGCAGAAGAATCACTTAAACTCAGGAGACGGAGGTTGCAGTGAGTTGAGATTATACCACTGCACTCCAGCCTGGGCAACAGAGCAAGACTCTGTCTCAAAAAAAAAAAAAAAAAAAAAAAAAGAAAGAAAAATATCTTGAAAAACATTTAAGAATTAATTGTTAATACACATATAATTATATAACATACCCTCCATGAAAGACAGTTGATGAGTATATGAACATGATAAATCACTCCTCAAAATAGAATAAGAGAACATTTATCCTACATGGAAACCCCATAGTTAAAGTAAGAGGACTTTGAGAAAAAAAAAGAAGTTTTCAGAATTTATTCTTCCACTAAAATGAAGAAGGTACCCTCCCGTCTGCCAGAGAGCACATGCAAGCTAGAAATCATGATTGTTCTCATGTAGATGTGTGTTCAGAGGAAATTATACCTCATTTGTGTTCGAGCACACACACAGCACGCAAACCAAATGAATGTATTATAACATATGCCTAAGGAATGTGGGATAGCCTTCCGGTAAATCTCGTGTTGGAAATCCTATGAACCTCCTCGTGTGGGAATGCTTTCAAAAGTACCAGTTGTCACTGACCATCAGGCTGTCAGTGAAAACACCTTACAAATGTAATAAGTGTGAGTCGTCTTTCAGTCAAAAGTAAAGCCTCATTGTCCAACAGGGAACTCACAAAGCAAAAATAATACAAATATAATAAGGTCATTTTTTTGATGCCTTTCCAACATTTTGAATGCCTTTATTGCAAAAACAATCTGAAATCATCCAAGAAGCTACTACTTCCATGCCATTGTAACAAAACAATGTTAATTGTGATAGAACATTCAGCATTTTGAAGAACCATGTTGTATAACTATTTATCTACTATGCTAGCAAATGTTAGCATAAGAGGGTAAGGTGATCGCTGCTGTACTACATCACCATAAGGCATAGGTTTTTCTGTTTGGTTTTCTGTTTCCCATTGTGCGTTCTTACATTTTAATGTTCTGTGACTTATGTTATCACTTCTTTTTTGTTTGAAGAATTTCCTTTAGCTCTTATTTCAGGATAGGTCCATTTTGGTTTGTTTGTTTCTCTTCATCTGAGTATATCTTTATTTCGTCTTTATTCTTAAGTGATATTTCAGCTAGAATTGGTTTTGTAATTGACAATACTTTCCTTTCGGCACTGAAAAGATATCTTACTTCCTTCTAGCTCCCATTTCATTATATGAGGAATCTGTCAGCATTTGAATTAACATTGTGCTAAAGGTAATATGTCCTTGCTTTATGGCCACTTTCAAGATACTTTCCTTCTTCTTCTTTTTTTAGTTTTCAGAAGTTTAATTATGATATGTGTTGGCATAGATTTCTTTAGATCTAACCTATTTGGAATCTCTTCAGCTTCTTGTAATTGTAGGCCCATGGCGTTCATCAAATTTGAGAAACTTTTAGCCATTATTTCTTCAACTATTTTCTAAGCTTCATATTCTTTAACTTACAAGACCTCAATGAAACAAATGTTTATTATGATCCCTGAAACCCTGTTCACTGTTTTTCAGACTCTTTTCTTTTTGCGGTCTAGATTATGTAAATTGTATTGATCTGATGTTAGGTTCACCACTTCTGTAATCTCACCTCTACTAATGATTAAATCTGAGTTTTTACTTTGGTTATTGTAAACTTGAATTTTTAAAAGAATGTCCATTTTTAATAACTTGTATATTTTGCAGTATTTTTTTCTATTTTTTATTTGTTTTAAAAAATGTGTATCTGCTTATTAAAACATATTTACAATAACTACTTTAAAATTGTTGCCAGATGTTTTCAAGTCCAATTCATCTTGACGTTGGTGTGATTTACTTGCTTTTTTTTCACACCCAACTTGTGATTGTATTGGTCTCTGGGTGTGATAGGTGATTTTCAATTGCACACTGGACATTTTGGTTATTAGAAGAATCCGTATCTTATTAAATCTTTATATTTAACATGCTTATTCTCTTTAGGTTTAGTCTTTCTAGGTGCTGGCCTATGTGTCATGGTTCCAGTAAAAATTTAATTTTCAGGTCCTTGGTAGCACCTTTTGTCCATCTGGCTTATTTGGCTCTGCTGTGGTACCCACTGGGTAATGCTGGTAGTGCCTGTGGGTTAGAGGGCGGTCTATGCAGGCTGGGCCATCTGGAACTTCTAGATGGGAAAAGGGAGTCGCCAGATGGGGGCAATGATGACTGCCTCCCACACTGGAATATGTGTGATGTTGCGTCCCCAATGTGTATACCGCCCAGCTGGCATGCCTTCCTTGCGAGAGAGGAGTATCTCGGGTGGTATGGAGAATGCATCACTGACCCACATGCTGTTGATGAGCCCCTGATCCATTCCTGTTCCTGTTGTTAGTGCTTCAAGGCTAGGGCAGCCTGATGCTATTTTTTTTTTCAAGACAGTCTCTGTCACCCAGGCTGGAGTGCAATGGCGCAATCTCGGCTCACTGAAATCTCCACCTCCCAGGTTTTAGTGAGTCTCCTGCCTCAGCCTCCTGAGTAGCTGGGATTACAGGCATGCACCACCACGCCCAGCTAATATTTTTTTGTATTTTTAGTAGAGATGGGGTTTCACCACATTGGTCAGGCTGGTCTTGAACTCCTGACCTTGTGATCCCCACGTCTTGGCTTCCCAAAGTGTTGGGATTACAGGCATAAACCACCACACCTGGCCCTGATGCTATTTTTGAGACTTCCATTGAATCTAGGGAAGGAATATGATTCCTTATGTCACCTTGTGTTGCTACATTGGGCCTGGATCATGTTACATTTTCTTGGGGAAGGTAAGTTGCCCTGTTGTCCTGTTGTATATCCAGTACTATAGGCCGTAACCAATTGTCCATTTTCTTTCCACCTTGAAGTACTTCTTTGCCTTCTTCTTATATTAGTTCCAGGATTTATGGCTGTTCATAGCCAGGAAAAAGCAGGGAGAAATGGGTCTACTCCATCTTGTCAAGATTGGACATCATAACATAGTATTTTCATGAATGGCCTGACATTTGTCCATACCACTTTTCCCCCACCTTTGCAGTTGTATACTTTCTTAAAATAAACTCTATTTTTTAGATCAGTTTTAGATTCACAGAAAACTTGAACGGAAATCAGAGTTTCCATTTACTCCTA